GGATAAATTTGTAAATAAAATTAAAAAATTTTAATCCGTTAGCGGTTCGATATAAAAAGCTACATAAACTAGTTTTTTCAATCCGTTAGCAGTTTGAATTCTAACCGCTATCCACTAGTCTCAAACCGCTAAATAAAAATTTTACCAAATATTTTATTTATAACGGTTTCGAAATATGTAAATTTACCAAACACCTATATTTAGCAGTTTAGGTAAAACCGCTATATCAAACTGGGCCTTAGTCATTAAAATTTACTTAAAAAAATTTTTTATCTTAAATTTAAATTTAAAAATATTAATTTTTTAATAACTAAATTAATAAATATTATTAGAAATATTAAATTAAAAAATATAACAATTATTATTATTATTATTATTTTAACATGAATTAAGGGGAAATGTTTCTATTGAAAACTTTAAAATAAATCCGGCCTACAATTTCATAGACGGGTCTGCCACATATAGCTTCGTAACTTTCAAATTAACTTTTCCCAACACAAGTCAATACTATGAGTTATTTCATCCGTTCAAATATACCCTTTGAATTTTCCCCAAAATGAAAACTACTTGTCCTCTTGTCCATTATTATGCAGAGAAGTAGATGCCCACTCTGCCCTCCCTTCCACTGAGGAAAGAAATGGGGGGAAAAAAAATGGTGCAATGGTCTTATCCTTAATCACCATAATTATTCAACTTCCTTTGTTCCCTGTCGTTTTCTAATTTTGTTTTGTATCCAATCACCAGATAAACGTTTTCAACCCTTCTTTAATGGCCGGTGCATGGTGCAACATGCATCATGAATTGGTCCAAAAGTTCACATTCAACTTGATCACGATGGAGCGCATAATTGTGTATACTTACCAATTGATGATGAGCTTATCAAAGATGTCAATTTTATGCATGCATTAGGGTGAAGGGCTCTTTTCTTTCTCCTACAAAATTTTTTCTTAAGGTGCATAGTATTTTTTTGGTATATATAGCTGTTGGATGCTAATTTTCATTGCCATGATTAAGTTAGGTGATTTATGTTAGAATTATTAAATTTATGAGAAGTTACTTTTTTGTTCACCTTTTAAAAAATTGAAAATTGATCAAAGTTCACAAAAAACAGATTATCCTCTTACAGTATGATATGTTGTTATATAATTAGTTTGTTTATTTAGGAATCCATTTATGATATTATATGATATATATGCATTTATTTAATGATACATATCATACTCATTTAATAACCTAACATGTTCTAAACTTATAATTTAATGTGATATTATTACTATAATATTTTTGTCAATTTGAACCCTTATAAGAATCAAAATTTTGATAGTCAAGCTCCAATTGATTCAATATTCAAATCTTAAATATACCCAGAGAAAAAAAAAAAAAAAGGTTGAAAGGTTTGTTGTTCTTTATTTTTGTCACTTTGAACTTTTATTTGGTAAGCAAAACATTCTCTTAGATGGGTCCCTATCCATCAACCACCAGAATCATGAACCTAATCTGATAAAATCATCACAATCTGATGCGATCTACCGACTTCCTCTTTACACATTTTTAACAATTTATGATCCTTCAAATTCCGATGGACTGTCCATATCAGTCCATCAAATTCATCAAAGAAGGTACTGAGAATGTGACGCTTTTCGACATTTTTCTTATTGGCCACATTTTACCGTCAATATTGTTGTCATTAGCAAAATACAATTAATTAACTTCCAATTATAATACATTAATATGAGTCAAGATTCGCTTACATGGATGTATAATAATAAATGTTACATAAATTATTTGTTATTAATTTTTGAATGAAATAGTTCGAAATGTATTGAGTAAAAAATAAATATTGCATCATTATTTTTTAATAGTTGAATTTAAAAACTAATTATTGATAATTTATGTAAGATATACACATATGTATAGGGATAATATATCTATGAATCATCATTTTAGTTTAAAATGTTGGTAAAGATATTTATATTAATATATTTATATAGACATAAAAGACAAAGCAGGTATTATAAAATGCAAACCTTTAAGAGGAATAAAACAAGAAATTAAAGTAATACATTAATGACATTAATTAGTGATTATTGGTGGCGTGGGGAAGGAGTTTACAATGAGGATCTTGTGCCAGATTCTGTTACAATTGCAAACTCATGCTTCTAAGTCGAAAAGTGCATGTCTTTGTCCGACCTTGACGCTATCTGCCATCTATATTGACCCATTGGTATAAAGAGTAGCAAAAGAATTTACAAAGGCCCTTTACTTCATATTATATAGGACATGTTTTTGACTAATTTTGGGTATGTTGGACGTTGCTTTTGAGTGATATTGGTCCTCCTTTTTTTTTTTTATGTTTTACTAACAGAAAAGAGTTGCTACTATAAATTTAGCTGAATTAGTATCACAATATTTATTTCTTTGCGTATTTGCATATTACAGATATACATAACCCTCATATATATATATATATATATATATATCTCAAAGACATTCACCACCCTAAAAAATTCATTTAGTACCTGCAGGATATATAGGTGTAAACAAGATGTACAAGTGATAACAACCTTTGGGATGTTTCAGGATGGAAAGAAGGGAGTATTGGTAATCATGGTGACGCTATATATTTTAATTTTATGTATATTATCACTCGATTTAACCTATAACTCTAAAACGAAAAAACTAAAGAAAAAAAAGTTGATCTGGCTCGGAGACATAATGATTCATTGATAAATTGTGTGATTCTTGGCAAAACAAAAAAAAATGTGATTTCATTATTGTAGGAATTTAAGCTTGGTCGTACTATTCACATGAGCACTTCAAAATATAGGAACGGACACATGATGGAGCATGATATATGAGATTGGCCTGGCCTACATAGATATTTTGATTGAATGATAATATTAGCTATGGATTAATTTACATGAAATTATAACCTCATATCTTCTTTTAAAAAAGGGTTAAAATAGGATCCTAATCAATATAGCAAAGAGTAAATTGTTTTACCAACGAAACCAATTACATTGAGTCTTCAAAAGTCGAATTGCATATTTGGGAGAGAGATAAACCTCACCCTGTCCTTTTCATGGGCGGTTATATGGGAGTTCCTTGATCTTGTCTGCCTTATTGCCATTACAAGATGAGTGACTCCACAAGGTGTATTCCTCAATTTCACCACATGAACCAATAATGTCCCACTTTCTGAATCTTTATGATTATAAACAATCAAGTTGTAGTAAAATTATGAACTCAATCATTTTTTTTAATTCCTTGATTCCCCACAACAAGTGGGTCTACTATTTAGTAATTTTTTATATTTTCTAATTAGCATGGTTCAATTAGATCCTCATGGTTAAGAGGATTAGATTAGATTGGATTAGATTAATGTTAATGCATATATTATTCAACTTCAAGAAGTGTGAACACTAGATATTGATGAAAAGACGCCACAAAATGTGTCCTCAAAGATGTTTGACAATGTTGTATCAGCACTTGATTGGACCGTCACGCTTAAACTTGACACACCCTCAACCATGTACATGAACATTGAAAGCTTAAAATATTAAGCTTGATTATTACTTGATGAAAATAGAAGGCATATATGATGAGGACCGAAGAGTAATGTGGATTGAGAATTTTGGTATGTCTCAGTTGTACAGGAAAATGACTCATCTTGTTGAAGGCAATTTTATAAATACAATTGTAAACTTATAGTATATTATTAAATGAGTAAATGTATACAATAATATAATTAGATTTTTAATAAAAAAATTAATTATATAATAATATACTATATTGTAAGGTTGCAGTACTATGTAATATTGTAACAATATCTTTGTTTCATTGGGAATTATAAAGGGTGGGCCGGGAGGTGTGGTTGCTTTAATGCTCTAGCTAAGATTGAGGAAATAGTGTAAACCAAGTAAGTGGATGTTTTTGGGGCGGTTTGTGGGACTGCCAGGCACCCTGCTTTGCGTCTCGCCTACATTTTGGTTCGACTCACTCCGCACACGTAAGTAGATTTTTATTCCCACGACGTACAAATGCAAGAGTGTTTTTGAATGAAAACTCACAGAAGGCAAAACGAAACCAAAGACCTCATTAGCTTATGGTAAGTCTTTTAATCAATCATACTAAAATGAAATTAATCGTACTAAAGGCGTCACATCGTGCTTATAACACAGAATGTAGTATTTGAAAGAGGAGAAAATTTCTTGATATTAGGCTTGTTGACGAATAAATTTTGTAACAGTAATTGATCTTTACCGGACAAAAACCAAGAATATAGCTGACTTGACAAAATTGGTTTCTCTTTTGTGTTTCTTTAACGAATCGACAAACATTCTAGATGGAGGAGAAGATAAGCTAAACTTGATTATGACTTAAATTAAGAAAGGCTTGTAGAAAGAAGCTTAATTAACCAAAGGATGATAATGACTTGCCCCCTTCCAAGGCCCCAATCTGTTTTTAATCCATTTTTAATTGTATGTTCTTGTCCAATTCTTTTCAATTTTTTTGTTCTTTTGTAAATTAATTTAGTTTTTAGGACTTTTTGTTCTGCCTTTATGGGTGTGATCCAGGAAGGGAAACAATGTGGAAGAACCAATCCCCTTTTTCCTTTTATTATTCATTTTTTTATTACTTAGCAAACTACACTTTTTTTCATTTATCTTCTTTCTTTGTTTGAAAGCCAGACAACATTTGTCTAATATATATTAATGCGAGAGTCGCAAAACAGGTATAGACATAACTTTAGGATGTCCTAGGGA